TTTCTTTTTGCAAGGAAGAACATTTTCTGAGATACATTTTTCTTTGTATAACTCGTACATTTTGCTGTATGTTAATTCTTGGTTTAAATATTTCCTGCCAGGATTGTCTTTTTTAGTGTAATGACTTTGGTAGGCCGGAAAAGAGTTGATATGTTCAATAACTTTGGAATCATCTATTTTATTTCTTGGGTTCCTTCCCCGTGAATCAATTACTGAAAAATACTTTATTTTTTGAAATACAGCGATATAATCTACTGACACTAATTTGTAATGTATCTACAAAATATTTCTTGCATACATACAAACATGGTGTTATTTTCTACCCGAAAACTGTACTTAAAAGACGTTTGCATTGCTGCCCTTGCACCATCTCTTACTCGTTTTCTCGCAACCTTTTGCGCCGTAGAAAAACATTTTGACGGGAATAGTCACATATTTTCCAATAAGATTAGAAAATGTTCTTGCGCTGATCTTCTTGAATTCTTGCGGTGCATTTTTTTGCAATTGCTATGCTATGTTTTGGAATTTCTTCAAAGGGATGGTTTTTCTCGATGTAATAATATATTCTCTACCGCAATTTCGACTGCGTTTCGTCACATTAGCCTTTCAAGTACTTTTATTTACATTTCGCTTTCTAGTTTTTAACCTACTTCAAAAAAGGAGGAGGTTATCAATTCGTCGCGATATTTTTTTTTTTTTATGTATGTTCAGCGATTATTCTTTAACACGGTGTACGATTTCAATGATTCTTTTTTTGTTAGAAAGAGATTACTTCAGGGGTGGTCCCATATATATTTGGTCAAAATATATTAATTGGGTCAATGAGAAAATCCTCAAACTCTTCATTTTTTATGTATGTTTAGCAATAATTCTTTAATACGGTGTCCGATTTCAATGATTCTTTTTTCGTTAGAAAGAGGGTACTTCAGGGGTGGTCCCATATAGATTTGGTCAAAATCTAATAATTGGGTCCATAAGAAAATCCTCAAAATCTTCATTTTTTATGTATGTTCAGCGATAATTCTTTAACACGGTGTCCGATTTCAATGATTCTTTTTTTGTTAGAAAGGGGGTACTTCAGGGGTGGTCCCATATAAATTTGGTCAAAATCTGATAACTGGGTCCATGAGAAATTCCTCAAATTCTTCATTTTTCATGTATATTTAGCGATAATGCTTTACGACCTTGTCCTATTTATATGATTCTCTTTTTTGTTAGTAATGGGGTACCTCAAGAATGGCCACATATAAATTTGGATAAGATGTGCTGACGGCATCTGCACGTTTTTGAAGTCGGTTTTTTTTAAATTTTTAATTTAGATCACTTGTAGAAATACCTGTCACAACATTATTTTCAGTTATGGTGTCTAAAACACTTGCCAAAGTTGGTCTAGCACCTGGTCTATGACCATTGTTTTATGTGGGTACAACTTCCTCCCCAATAACTCTTTTTGCTTCGCCGTACTCGGATAAAAAAGTTCAATGGAAAGTTTTAATCAAACCCCGTATAAGCCCCCGCGCGAATACGGGATTTCAGATCAACACCTATTTGTAATGAAAACATAACCCTACTTATAGGAACTAATGCTGAAAATAATAAAACATACCTTCAGATTCGCTAGAATCAGACCTCTCAGAAGGCTGATAATCTGATTCATTTGGTAAAAATGGTTCAGATTCTGATTCACTGACATCCATTTTAACAAAACAAACAATTTTTATCTCTAAACTTTAACCACAACTTAACACAGCAAGACTGTTTTCAATGAGGTTTTGTTATAAAATCGAGCACAACGGTAAATTTTATGGACTTGATCCATTTCACTTCTGAAACGAATAAACAAAGTTTTCAGAAACAGACTCAAAACCAACTCTAGCTGATTAATATGTAAAGTGTGACTTAATTCCTTTCTTTACTGAAATAAACCATGTTTTATATGCCTTTTAAGAAGGTAGTATCAAAATTGAACCCCTCATATATAAAATCATAATATGTTTTATATCTCTTCTAATAGACAAGCATGGTATTTTAAAATGGTATCTAAGTTCAGTCGTTCTGATCAATCTATAATTTGGCCATTGATGATTTTCTTTGTAACATAAAAAATCTAATGTGTCCAACACATAACTTTCCTATCTAGTTATTACAGGCTTTTTTCGGTTATTTTGTACAACCTATTGTAGCACCTCTGTAAATGTTTAGAGGTTAACTTAATATATACATTTTCGACATACATCTAACTCGAAACATTTTTCTATATACACTCATTGCCAACGGAAATGCAGAAAAATTTAAATTTTATACTTCTCCAATTTTTCTTTTACGGTCCATTTTAGAGAAATCATGTAAGAAACAAAAATTATAAAAATCGATATCGCAAACATCTTTTAGTTCAACATTTTTCTTAAAAATTAGAATTTTTTTCGCTTTGAAAAATTTTTCGGAAAATTATGTATGGAACAAAAATTATAGACAATAATAAAAGTAATCTTTATTTAAAGAATTGTCTTCTCCAAACGAAAATAACAGATATATTTTATAAAATATAAAAATGACCCCCTATAAAGTACCCCCAGATGTCCAAAATCTAATCAGTTCACCTCAGGTCGGAATAAAGCATAAGTTTAAAATTTAATGTGTTTTTCTTTATCCGTTTTTGAATTTTCTTTAAAATTCGAAATTTACACATTTTCTCAAATATCTCGAATACAGTCCATTCTAGATAAATTATGTTTAAAACAAAAATTATAGAGAATTATATCACAAACAACTTTTATTTAAAGAATTTTTATAAAAATTTGATTTTTTTTACATTTTGTCAAATTTATAGAATACGGACCTTTTTGTAAAAATTTTGTATAAAACAGAAATTATAGAGAATAATATAAAAAGTAACTTTTATTTAAAGAAATTTCTTCTACAAACGTAAATAACAAATATATTTTAAAAAATATAAAAATGACCTCCTATAAAGTACCCTCCCAGATTTTTCGAATTTATAAAGAATTTTTAAACGTTATATCCACAGTAAATAATTGATACCAACAAATTTTTTTCTAACATTATTTAATATTTTTGTGTTTATTTTTCACTGCTATTAACACCCCACCACTCTTTGACTTACCAGTAAAACTTAAATTTTGATCCGCTCTCATGACAGTGTAATACATCTGAGTCAAATAGTTCATTAACACAGATATCCTTCCTTTACCAAGTTTCGACTGCTATAACAATATCAAAGTTACTAAATATTACATTACAGTAAAAATCTGCCGTTTTACTTCTTAATCCTCTGCAATTTTGAAAATAAATTGAAAAATTGATCATTTATTAGACAATACAACTATTTATAAAAATATTATACCTATATTAAATAGAACATGGCCCTTAATTATTTATATTTTAATTTTCTCGGAACTTCCAGATCTTTATTGACATGAAATGATATTTATAGACATTTCTAGACATTTCTAGACATTTCTAGACATTTCTAGACATTTCTAGACATTTATAGACATTTCTAGACATTTCTAGACATTTATAGACATTTATAGACATTTATAGACATTTATAGACATTTATAGACATTTATAGACATTTATAGACATTTATAGACATTTATAGACATTTATAGACATTTATAGACATTTATAGACATTTATAGACATTTATAGACATTTATAGACATTTATAGACATTTATAGACATTTATAGACATTTATAGACATTTATAGACATTTATAGACATTTATAGACATTTATAGACATTTATAGACATTTATAGACATTTATAGACATTTATAGACATTTATAGACATTTATAGACATTTATAGACATTTATAGACATTTATAGACATTTATAGACATTTATAGACATTTATAGACATTTATAGACATTTATAGACATTTATAGACATTTATAGACATTTATAGACATTTATAGATATTTATAGACATTTATAGACATTTATAGACATTTATAGACATTTATAGACATTTATAGACATTTATAGACATTTATAGACATTTATAGACATTTATAGACATTTATAGACATTTATAGACATTTATAGACATTTATAGACATTTATAGACATTTATAGACATTTATAGACATTTCTAGACATTTCTAGACATTTCTAGACATTTCTAGACATTTCTAGACATTTCTAGACATTTATAGACATTTCTAGACATTTCTAGACATTTATAGACATTTCTAGACATTTCTAGACATTTCTAGACATTTCTAGACATTTCTAGACATTTCTAGACATTTCTAGACATTTCTAGACATTTCTAGACATTTTTAGACATTTCTAGACATTTCTAGACATTTCTAGACATTTCTAGACATTTCTAGACATTTCTAGACATTTCTAGACATTTCTAGACATTTATAGACATTTATAGACAATTCTAGACATTTCTAGACATTTCTAGACATTTATAGACATTTCTAGACATTTCTAGACATTTCTAGACATTTTTAGACATTTCTAGAAATTTCTAGACATTTATAGACATTTATAGACATTTCTAGACATTTCTAGACATTTCTAGACATTTCTAGACATTTCTAGACATTTCTAGACATTTCTAGACATTTCTAGACATTTCTAGACATTTCTAGACATTTCTAGACATTTCTAGACATTTCTAGACATTTTTAGACATTTCTAGACATTTATAGACATTTCTAGACATTTCTAGACATTTCTAGACATTTCTAGACATTTATAGACATTTATAGACATTTCTAGACATTTCTAGACTGTTCTCTCTTCTTTTATTTATACTTTTGCTTGTAATAACCACAGCATGGTCTAGGGTGATGGGTGACAATATTTGACACCAAATTAAAAAAGAAATTAAATATTCTTGGCAACCAAAGTTGCAAGAATGAAGAAGATATAATAATATGTAGTGCGTGCAAGTCATTATACTGACTACATTTGAATTTTCGATTATCTCACACCCTTTATTTGATTTTTTTTAGTGGCAGAACGTTTTGACGCTTTGAAAACTGACAAACTTGGCCCCTATTTGGCACGAGTTATGTTACTTCGGAAAGAATTGCTGGAACTTCATTACGAGAATCCTGGCCTGTTTCAGGCAATAGTAAGTTTAGTATTACTATTCATATACGAGTGTTCAGAACCAAAAAAAGATAAGTCGGCTAAAAATGAAAAAATTATTTTTATATACCTTCAAATATAGTATATTTCGCTTTGTGAAATTCCGTATCTAATTATTGTTAACTGGTATTCCGAAAAACATGTTTTGTTGAAGGGTCCTAATAAAGACGAAACCGGTCCAAGATTGACGTTCTCTTTAGTAAGACAAATAAAAGGTAGAGCAGTGAAAATTATTTTTTGTATGTGCTGTATTCATTTGGATTTATTTCAATACCTCTTACGGTATTAGCCAAAGGAGTTGTTGTTTTCCTGATTTTTTATTACTTATCGGGTTTTTTCTTTGAACTCTCGATCTATAAACTATAATGAATATTTAATAGAATTTGACGATATTTCACGAACTCTTATACTAATATTTACAAAATATCAGCCAGGTGAGATTTTTTACGTGTTCTTTTATCGATTTTATAAATGTTTCTTAGAAAAATAATAATATTAAATTTTTCATTGATTTAAGAAAACAACCTGATTTATTTGAATTTTACCAATTTTAGTAACGATTCAGATTATGATGGTGCGATATCGTCCAACTGTACTTTTTCTCTGAGTTGACGTTTCTAACCTTACATATTTACGAGTCAGTAAATATTTAATGATACTTTATGAATTAGGCTATCAGAATAGTAAACGAACGAACGAACGAACGAACGAACGAACGAACGAACGAACGAACGAACGAACGAACGAACGAACGAACGAACGAACGAACGAACGAACGAACGAACGAACGAACGAACGAACGAACGAACGAACGAACGAACGAACGAACGAACGAACGAACGAACGAACGAACGAACGAACGAACGAACGAACGAACGAACGAACGAACGAACGAACGAACGAACGAACGAACGAACGAACGAACGAACGAACGAACGAACGAACGAACGAACGAACGAACGAACGAACGAACGAACGAACGAACGAACGAACGAACGAACGAACGAACGAACGAACGAACGAACGAACGAACGAACGAACGAACGAACGAACGAACGAACGAACGAACGAACGAACGAACGAACGAACGAACGAACGAACGAACGAACGAACGAACGAACGAACGAACGAACGAACGAACGAACGAACGAACGAACGAACGAACGAACGAACGAACGAACGAACGAACGAACGAACGAACGAACGAACGAACGAACGAACGAACGAACGAACGAACGAACGAACGAACGAACGAACGAACGAACGAACGAACGAACGAACGAACGAACGAACGAACGAACGAACGAACGAACGAACGAACGAACGAACGAACGAACGAACGAACGAACGAACGAACGAACGAACGAACGAACGAACGAACGAACGAACGAACGAACGAACGAACGAACGAACGAACGAACGAACGAACGAACGAACGAACGAACGAACGAACGAACGAACGAACGAACGAACGAACGAACGAACGAACGAACGAACGAACGAACGAACGAACGAACGAACGAACGAACGAACGAACGAACGAACGAACGAACGAACGAACGAACGAACGAACGAACGAACGAACGAACGAACGAACGAACGAACGAACGAACGAACGAACGAACGAACGAACGAACGAACGAACGAACGAACGAACGAACGAACGAACGAACGAACGAACGAACGAACGAACGAACGAACGAACGAACGAACGAACGAACGAACGAACGAACGAACGAACGAACGAACGAACGAACGAACGAACGAACGAACGAACGAACGAACGAACGAACGAACGAACGAACGAACGAACGAACGAACGAACGAACGAACGAACGAACGAACGAACGAACGAACGAACGAACGAACGAACGAACGAACGAACGAACGAACGAACGAACGAACGAACGAACGAACGAACGAACGAACGAACGAACGAACGAACGAACGAACGAACGAACGAACGAACGAACGAACGAACGAACGAACGAACGAACGAACGAACGAACGAACGAACGAACGAACGAACGAACGAACGAACGAACGAACGAACGAACGAACGAACGAACGAACGAACGAACGAACGAACGAACGAACGAACGAACGAACGAACGAACGAACGAACGAACGAACGAACGAACGAACGAACGAACGAACGAACGAACGAACGAACGAACGAACGAACGAACGAACGAACGAACGAACGAACGAACGAACGAACGAACGAACGAACGAACGAACGAACGAACGAACGAACGAACGAACGAACGAACGAACGAACGAACGAACGAACGAACGAACGAACGAACGAACGAACGAACGAACGAACGAACGAACGAACGAACGAACGAACGAACGAACGAACGAACGAACGAACGAACGAACGAACGAACGAACGAACGAACGAACGAACGAACGAACGAACGAACGAACGAACGAACGAACGAACGAACGAACGAACGAACGAACGAACGAACGAACGAACGAACGAACGAACGAACGAACGAACGAACGAACGAACGAACGAACGAACGAACGAACGAACGAACGAACGAACGAACGAACGAACGAACGAACGAACGAACGAACGAACGAACGAACGAACGAACGAACGAACGAACGAACGAACGAACGAACGAACGAACGAACGAACGAACGAACGAACGAACGAACGAACGAACGAACGAACGAACGAACGAACGAACGAACGAACGAACGAACGAACGAACGAACGAACGAACGAACGAACGAACGAACGAACGAACGAACGAACGAACGAACGAACGAACGAACGAACGAACGAACGAACGAACGAACGAACGAA